ACTAGGGGTGCCTGTGGCCCAGTTGGGGGCGGGGTCCAGCGTAGGGAAGGGGTCCCTGCCGGCCGATGTTGGCTATGAGGGTCTCCCACTGCCCAGTATCAGTAGTTGGGGTCCCTGCTCCCCGGGGTCGGTGGTCGGGGTCCACGGCCGCCGTTGGCCCAAAGGGACCGTGGGTGTCCTTGGAGGCCTGCCGCCGGGAGCGACCGTGAGTGTAGGGCGCTTTGGAGAAGTTGTGACGCCGTCCCGGGCGGGGGCTCCCTGCCTGCGCGTGCCCATGCTTTGGGCTGAGGGGGCGCGCGTCAGGGGACCCTCGGGGAGATGCGCTGTGCAGCGGTGTTGCTGGGGTGGCCTCCGTGGGCCCGGGAGGGTCCCGCGTGCCGTGGGCGGGGCTCAGGGTCCCAGTGTGGGCTCGGTCCGCGGGAGCCCCAGCCTCCCCAGGCAGGGTGCCGGCCCGCCGCGCCCCGGAGCAGGCTTCCCCACAGCCCGCCCTGCCGCCGCCTCGGCTCGCGGCCCCCTGGGGACCTGGCACCGTCGCCGGGCCTCGGGAGCTGAGCCCCTTGGTGCGCCTCGTGCGGGGCGGGACCGCACGTCCGTGCAGGCGCAGCTGCCATGTCCGCAGCAGTCGCACCTTCCCGTGGCCGCGCCCGCCGCGTGTGCGGCAGGAATGCCCGGCAGCCGTGCCCGCTCTATTTCTGTCCAGAGATTAAGCCCGAAAATCCCAGCTGCCGGGTGCTGCGCCGCGAGCCGCTCGGGGCCTCCGCGGCGCCCCCTGCCGGAGCCTCTCGGGAGAACATAGGAGCAGCCCCCCGCAGGAGCAGCTCTGGGCTCCGTCCATGTCCCGAGGAGGCGCGAACTGCCTTCTCCACGCCGTCCGTGTCCTTGCCCGGGAGTGTGCCGCGGCCCGGTCTTGCGCCCCGTGGCCTCCCCACTCTGCGCGTCTGCGTCCTGTCCCTCTTCAGCCTCCACTGCAGGTCACTGGCTGCTTGGCAAGAAAGGAATGCCAGGTGGTGGTGCGGCCTGCAATCCCAGCTCTGGGAGGCAGAGGCAGGGGGATCGCTGCTAGTTTGAGACTAGCCTGGGCCCCAGAGTAAGCTTAAGGCAAACGTGAGCTGCACCCAGAGAACCTGTCTCAAAAAGATGGAAAAAAACCTGGAGACTACAGCACCCCGGGAGGCTGAAGCGGGAGGGCCCCAAGCACAAGTGCCTGCCTGGGCCCCTGCCTGCCTCCTGGTGGGCGCTCCCCGCTGCGCACGTTTGCTGGAGGCCTGGGGTCCCGAATGCCGGCCGGTCCAGGCAGTGGAAAGGTCCCTCCCTCCCTCCCTCCCTCCCTCGGTGGTGACGCTGCCCACTGACCCTCATGCAGGTGCAGGCGCAGGCGCAGGCGCAGAAGGAGGAGCCGCTGCCGCCGCTGTCCAGCCAGACCATCCCCACTTTCTACTTCCCACGAGGCCGGCCCGAGGACAGCGCCCGCGTGGACGCCGCCATCGCCAGGGTCGAACGTGTCTTTGCGCAGTTCCCGCAGGAGAGGGCCACAGCCGGAGACATGGGCCAGGTGGCCAAGGTGGGAACGGGTGTGGGGCGCCGTGCCGTCACGGGGTGCAGCGCAGTGCCGGCTGGGCTTGTCCTGCCATGCTCCGCCTGCAGGGCTGTGGCGCAGTTGCTGCCACCTGTATCCCGCAGCCCAGCCGGTGTGCACCCCATCTCCTGCAGCCAAGCCAGTGCACACAGTGTGCCAGGTGAAACACCCCTGCTTTTTGGGGGAGCGCTGGCAGGATCCCCAGGCCTCACGTTGCAGAGCTCCCCCAGTGCTCCGTACTGCCCTGGAGAAGGCCCCGCGGGGTCCAGCTGTCCGTGCCCACAGCTGCGGCCTGCCTGAGCCGCGGGTTCCGGCCTCCCCCTCCTGGCCCCCGCTCTGCTCGGCTCTTTCTCCAGGGTTTTACCTTCGGGGCTTTTGGAATGTCACATGAATTTAGGGTCCACCGGGCGCAATTGCAGCCCTGTGGGAACCGCAGCCTTGGGCACCTGCTTTGCGCAGGACGCTTTCGGGGTGCAGACCCTGCTCGACTTCCCTCTTGGCTTTCTGCACAGAAGCTACATTTTGCTGAGTTACTTACTTTTTGCTTTTGAGGCAGGGTTTCGCTGTTAGCCCAGGCTGGCCCCTAACTCCCCGGAATCCTCCCGCCTCGGCCTGCCCGTGCCTGGCTGGGGTGAGGTCAGCGCGCTGGCTGGGGCTGGCCCCTCTCTTACACATGCCCAGCCGCATGGAGCACTTGCTGAGACCTCACCCTGCGGTTGCCGGGTGCTTTGGCCACGCTGCTCCACCCACGTCTGACCTGCAGACCCACTGTCTCCAGTTCCGCTAAGGCACCAGTGTGTGTGCAGAGGGGACAGAATTTCATGGTCCCTGGCTGGAGGGACGGCTTGCCTTCAGCTGAGAGAAGATTCTTCCTCTGGGAGGCTGAGGCAGGAGGAGGGTGGCAAGCTGCACCCCGGCCCAGACACGCACGGAAGACCCCTTCTCAGTGGCGTGAGAAGGGCCCTGCGCCTGGGGGGTGGCCCTGTCTGCGGCTCGGGGTGCAGGCCCACACGGTGTGCTGTTCCAGTGGGTCCCGGGATCCCGGCTGTGTCTCCCCAGCTGTGTGTCACACAGAGCCGGCCACCTGCTTGTGGCACTCCCAGCCAGCTCTGGAGCCAACCCTTTTTGAGGTTTTCCTAGCATAGAAAGAAGTGTTTTCACAAGTGTATATTTTCAATGTTGGGTTTAAACGCAGGCTGTTACACAGCCAGCCCCACACCCTGTCTTCTCTTCGTAGCCAGCATCTTGGTCCCTGAGGTGCTCAGATTGAGTTGGCCCTGGGGATCCTCCTGCCTCAGCCTCCTGTGAGCTGGGGTCACAGGCTTGCATGCTGGTGTGTGTGTGTGTGTGTGTGTGTGTGTGTGTATGAATGGTACATCTCTGAGACCCTGTGAAGTACAGAATCACTCAGTGGCCCAGGTTGGATTTGTCATCCTCACCCTCCTGCCTCAGCCTTCTGGCATCATGGGGAGATGGTGTGCCCCTCAGCCGCGGGGTAGCGCCCTTTCTCCACAGTCCCTTCTGTGACGCTTCCCACTGGGTTGAGCATGGCGGTGGTCAGTGCCTTTGGGATGTTGGGGACGTTCCCCAGGCATGGCTCCCCTGCTGTCAGGCCTGGTTGGGGCCCCATGGCACAGTCCTCCGTGTGCGGGCTCGTTGACCCCAACCCCAGGTCGGAGGCCCGTGTCCAGCCCTCCCAGCTCCCCCCCAGGGAGAAGCCACACAGCTATCCGCCAGCTCCAGACCTCAGATCTTCCTGCCTCAGCCTCCCAGGCCTGGGGGCGGCCAGGGCCGACCAGCAGCTGTCTGCTGGTGGTTCCTGCGGTGTCTGCTTCCCTACGGGGCAGCCCGGCCAGCCCAGGGCACCTAAGGGTACCACTATCATTGCCCACCTTGTGCCCCGCGGGGCCAAGCCGTCCTCACCCATCGTCCACAGGCGGGGACCCGCTCTTGTCCAGCCCCTGCCTGGTGCAGGCGAGTGTCGCGTGCACAGCCTGGCACAGGACCTTCTGCCCCGCCCACCACCCTGCCTCCTGCGCTCCCCAGCCCTGGGAGCCCCTGGCTGCCGCCGCTCCCCCCAACCCCAGTTCTTGCCGCTTCTCCTGCCAGCTGCCCAGGGGCTGCGCCACAGGATGACTAGGTCCTCTTCCTCGATGCTCGGGTGGGCCCGCCGTGCGGCCCGCTCCGGCACTGCAGCGGTGGGGCGTCCGACGCCCCAAGTCCTGCGCCACAGGGGCGGAATGCGACCCCCCAGTCCGGCGCTGACCCCAGCCGGGCTCGGAGGCCGGTCCTGGAGGCTGCCTGGAGCCCAGACCCTCGGGTGGCAGGGCCCAGGCCGCCCGCTGTGCCCGGCCCTGGCCCTTCTGTTCCTCCGCGTGCCCTCGCCCGGGCTCAGCCCCGGTGCCAGGCGCTGCGAGCCCCAGCGCCCGCGTTTCCGCCAGCACCGCCCTCCGGCGTCGGCGCACTGACCGCCCGCGTCCGCAGGCCTGCGGCTGCCCGCTCTACTGGAAAGGACCGCTCTTCTGCGGCGCCGGCGGCGAGCGCACGGGCTCGGTGTCCGTGCACAAGTTCGTGGCCATGTGGAGGAAGTGAGTGCGCCCCGGGCCTCCCTGCGGGACCGCGCCCCCTCCGCCCAGCCCCTCGCCCCGCACGCGCGCACACGGCTGTCCCTGCAGGGTGCTGCAGACGTGCTACGACGACGCGGCGCGCTTCGTGCAGCTGCTCGGGAGCCCGGGCACCGACGGCCTGGTGCAGGAGGACTTCGTGCCCTTCCTGCAGGTGCGGGC